TTTGAGTGTGCTAATCGGTCTAGATCTAAATAAGCAATCGTATCTATTTTACACAAGTTGAACAAGAAACATAATCCATGCAACTGACATTTTACTACATTCCGGGAAGTTTCAAAAGAGTGAAAAGGCATTTAATGCTATATTACTGATGTAAAATAAATGTTGTTTTAGTTTAGAGACCTACTGTACTGGACATATGTAATTGTTTCGCATATATTCTTGAATACGTTATCTTTGTTTGTGATCTCACTATATTTTCAAGGCTAAAGTGCTTGTTTATATCATTCATTGTACTAATGACGTCACACCAAAGCAATATGCATAGATGGCATGATCGCAATAGTAGCAATGTGCCATTCAACAATGTGGGCACACGTTCTAATGTCGGCGCTTTATTGAGTGTTAGGAAACAAGATAAAACACAAATCAAATACTAACTCAGTAATTTCCGTTTCCGTCAATGTTTTCAAAAGATAACTTGACAGTCTTTTTAAGTGTCTTTTGTGTTGAATGCACTTACGTGTTTGAAGGTGGTCGTTTAGAAATGCCGCGCGGTAAATTTTGTACCTCGTGCACTACGTCATTTTTCGATTTGATCTTTTTTAATACAAACAAAATAGTTTATAACAAAATTCCCAAATAAACAGGAACGAACTTTTTCGCCTGTTATGAACTCATTCACTTGATTTAACTACATGTTTGTAACGAATGTATATGCTCTTTTAACACTCTGAAAGCCTCAAGTAGCAGACTGTGTGAGTATAAATGTTTGAATATTTGGCTTAGAGAAAAAATACGTTAATATTTTCAGCCTTAAATCTCCGTCCTCCGGCAACTGTCGATACATTACCCAAATTTGGTCTGTCGTGTAATTTCGTCGGTAGCGCTCAAATCACTTTGCGTTGTGTGTTTTTTAATCTAGAATTTTCTGCACTTGAGCTCTGATCGTTACGTGGTAAAGCGTTTTGTCTGTCGCTCTAAATGCGTTTTGCTACAATCGTGGGTGACGTCACACGCGGTATGACATCTGGAAAATCGCAGGGACAACCCGAAGTACGTTCTCTCTTAAAAGCTTCGCGTTAAGTGACATTTTTAAACCGCTTTTACCGTCATTTCTAACCATCAATTTGATGAATAAATGACTACGATCAAACGACCCAACTGCCTGGTTATGCGTGAGTAACGAGAACGCACGAGTGCGATTATACTGGGCTTAGATGCTCAATGCTTACGATGACGTCATTTCTTTAATCTCGCCTTATAGGCTATTTCACCAATTATTCAAAAACTCTATGAATCTCTCAAGTGTTCGTACATGACAAAAATACATAAGAGTATCCACTACGGCGAGTACGTGACGTGACAGACTACTTTGCAGTGTTTTTGCTTCACCATCACATATGTTATATGTTACCACTAAATGAGACCACGCACACAGAGACGTCTATAATCTGTACTGTAATACATTTTATGTATTTATTTATTTATTTATTTTCGGCGATTTTGAAAAACAAAGCCATTGAATTTATAATAAGCAAACCTTCCACTGAGCTCCTTATATTTACGAATTTATTATATTTAGTTTTCAATAAATAAAATTCTTATTATATATACATATTAATAAGTAGTATTATAATACCAGTGTAAACACTGAGGTGGGATAACTATATGTATCAAACAATATTTGTAATCAGACTTGCCAAGAAAGTAGTGTCCTTGACCACAGCCAAAGGGGGTAACGCTCGGTCGTTGAAATTGTCCAAATGATCAAACATTCAAAGAACCCCATATATGATGCATAAGTAGCAAAGCAATGTCCGATATTGAGGAACTCTGAGAAGGTTATTTTTCATTGGTACGCAATAGGCAGCGGGAGATTACGGTGTCGACCAGACAGCTCCACAATAAATCTTAGGATATTTAAGAATGCATTATTTTTTTACAAGTAAAATAAATTCTCTCGTAAATTCAATAAAAATGTAATGAAATGATTTGCGCATTAAATGACAGCTCTAATACGATATATTAGTGAGTAACAAAAGCACGAGGAAAAGTCAATGATAGATGGAAAGCAAAACATCACGATTTTCAGCTCGAATAGATGTGTTTGTGTTTGTCATGAAAGTTATATGCCAGAGGGGGGATATTATAATCCGACATTATGCGGCTTATTTTATTTCAGTGGTTGAACGTATAATTGGTCACCACTCCATCACATGTGGTGTCCGTGATAAATTATCCCACAATGGTTTAGCTGCATTGACAAAACATACGTATTGAAAGATTGGATGGAAAAAAAAGCAATTTGTTCACTGACAATCATAAATCGGCCATTTTGAGCGTCATTCGTGGGTAGATGTAGAGAACGCGACACACCTTGGCAAATAACAGATACATATAAACATGGACGATTTCTGAATAATTTACAGGTAAATTGTCACTCAACGAACAAGATAACATTTATGCCCAGCCCGGCTTATAAATGATATGTGTTCGGAGAACGTAATTGGCTTAGCACCATACGACTATATTTACAAAGGCAAACGCACGGCTTCTGCCGACAACGGGACACACTTGATTCGAACAGCCCGGTGTGGTGCGTGCATTTTAAAACTGTCGTAATCTCGACCGTTGATCAATACACTCAAAGTAATTTGAACATTAGTGATGTTATTCGAGAACAGTTAATCAGAAACAATACACAGTTCTTATGTACACTTCTTGCTAAATGGTCGTTACTCGCTCCGCTACTACATAAGTGCTGTGCCGACGTTGATTAAACGTAAAACGGTATGTGTGTGCCGTAACCTGGTAACTGCTGTTGTCGTAGGTTCTGCGGCGATTCAGGCAGACTATTCCGCGTAGTATTCTCGCGAAAGCTTCTCGAAAATCCTTGTTGAATATACTATAGATAATGGGATTCAGTGTTGAATTGAAATAACCTAACCAGGTCAATGTCGCATAGAGTATCGGAGACACACAGGTAGCACATAAAGATGCGATAATATTCATTAAAAAGAAAGGACTCCAGCATATAAGAAAAGTCCCCATGATGAACCCTAATGTTATAGCTGCTTTGTGGTCGCTGACCTCTTGCGATTGGTTGTTGGAATTTGGCCCGCCATTTTCGACAACAATCGCCGGTATGTGGTGTGATTTGATTTGTCTGACATGGTAACGTACGGCTCTGTATATGTGGGCGTAAATCAGAATCATGAGTAAGCATGGGATGTAAAAGCTAACCAATGACGAAACTATGGCAAATGTCGTGTTCAGCTCCATCATACAGGACAAGATGGCGCTCTCTGGTGTATTGCTGTCTAAATCCATATCCATACCTATTTGTTCCTCTTCAGTCCCACTCAGTGACTGTTTAACAGTGTGCCATCCCAGCTGAATTGGCAAAAATGAAATCAAACCAGAAAGAACCCACACAACAACAATCATCACCACGGCAACTTTCTTGGTCATCCACTGATGGTATTTGAGGGGTTTTTTGATATGTAAATACCGGTCCACGCTGATGGCGCACAGATTAAGTATAGACGCCGTGGAAAACATAACATCGAACGAAATCCATACGCTACAGAAAGGCATACCGAATATCCAGTATCCGTTGAGATCGTTGAACACGGCAAACGTCATCACGAGAATAGAAACCAATAAATCGGCCATAGCTAGCGAGACTGTAAACAAATACGTGGTTTTGTGCAATCTTCGATCGACACACACTGCGATGCACACCAAAACATTACCCAGTACAGACATAACAATGATTAAACTTAGCACGAATCCTATGAACACACTCTCCACAAGAGAGAATTTTGCCGTAGTTGGCGACGCTGTGGTCTCATACTCTTCTGTAATTGCCACATTCCGAGCGGCTGTGAAGTTTTGATCTCCGTCCATACCGTTATCATACGTACGGGATTAAAATCGTGTGTTGAGCACACAAAAATAACACTTAAGCAATTCGATGTGCTATGAACCAACGCATCTGCCACCAGCTTTATGAATGGGTCGCACGTTGGCAATTTGGTTGCAGTGTATCACTCGGTCGGAGCGACGAGTTTGCAGTGCCTGTTAAGTTGCTATACCATCATTATATATGATCGTCCGTAATTGGTTCAGCTTTATTGATCACTAAAAAAAAATAATTCCTACGCGGTATAAACTGTACATCATACGAGTGCTCACACATACATATTTGATTCAGCATTTCACCCTCGTTATCATGCTGATAATAATCACTCAGGAGTGGTCGGTATACATCGGTGTCGCGAATAGAGTGGCGAGAGTACCGGTTATCGCGTTAACCGCGAGGCTATATGATGTCCCGATTTACAACAGTGCCGGTTCTCCTACCTTAATGCCTTAATCACAGTCCGGCCAGCTCAGCGGAGCACATGATAACGTAGACCCGTTTGCGTTGATGCCTTGTTGGTCCCAATAGTAAAACGATAGTAAAGCATATATATTGTAGTCACCATCGGTAAAGCGGGTGTACGCTATTCGCTTCAATGCCGTATTCTGAATGAGTGGAGATGCCTGCCTATTATTAATACTCTCGGAGATCACGCCTAACGGTGCAATCTGATTGGTTATTAATTTATCATCATGAATATCCATATATTGAGCTATGATATTCCACCGTGAATTAGATGAATTACTTCTCATTAAAAGAAAGCCCGGGAGATACGATAGAACTAGTGGGGACTATCTGGCGCTATATATCACTGCTTTACGGCGTTGCGGTTGATAACAACATTTCCAACACACGGGATTAGGCAGACAAAGTAGGTTGATGCTGGCAGCAGTTTGTGACATTTTCAAATCGGCTTACTTTGAGTGTGCATGCAATCATTTGGGTAGCAAAATATGATAGATGGAGCTATACAGCACGACAAACATAAGACAAATGAATTGTTCGTTGTACGCCACTCACGGCTTTAAATTAAGTAATGATTGTCGGAGCTTTTTAGTCTCGAGTGCTCAGTGCTGCCTATGTACTATAGATTGCATGTGGTGCGCGCTTGTTTGTAGTGTGTGCAATTGATGCTATTTCTGCACTGTTCGCAGAGTACACGGCCAATCATGCCGAGTAGTGTTAAAACTGATTGTACGAAAGCAATTAGATCGTTCATTCGATTAAACACTTGTTCAGCATTTCAGATCATGATGCCTGGTTCATTTTCTGCGCACTGATTGGTGGCTTAACGCGATCAACTAAGATGAAATTAATTACACTTATCCACGTTGCGTCAGCGGTTAGCGCGTGGTTGCCACACTGTCTGACTGATATAGTGTATCTGAGATCGCCTAGTCTAGATAACAAGTTTGTTTATGTCGAATAAAGCCTCAATGTCAGCAAACCTCCAATCAATACGGAACTTTTCACGGATTTCAATTAATTTCCATTGCATCATCCGTGAAAGCTGTCAGTGTTCAATTGATGCCAGTAACAGTTGTGCCCACCAACAACCGCTACAGAAGGCCACATATAATCGAACAGCTAAATCTATTTTGTAGGGCAGAGAAATTCAAATCGCGTTAGCGTGTGCATTCTCCGCCATTGCACGTAACTGTGAGACGCAAGGGCCGAGGGCGGACGCGTTAAAAGCGTACACATATAGGCAGTTGAGAATAGAATAAATGTATGTAATTCATTGAAATAAAATTAATTTATTAAACAAGTGTTGGTCTATAGCATATGTTATACCATGTTGTATCCCAATATCCATTTGTGGACCCTGTAAATGACCTACAGAGGGAAAGTAATCACTATCACCCGTGCAATCATCATTTTACGTTATAAGATATATACATAAAAGCCGATTAAGTAAATAAATAGTGGTTTTGGTACAGGTAGGATGCAGCGACAAAATATTGATAATTCTGAGTTCCATGCGCTGACGGAATGCTTCACCTAAACTATGCTTGTGAAAGAGTCTATTCATAGCAGATACCTAACGTTAGCATTATAGGCGAAAATAACAAGCTTTTTGTGACAAATATAATGTGTGTTTTTCTATTGTCGGCACCATAATACTACAAAGAAAAGACTATTACAAAATTACTAAACATAATCTGCACATTCATGGTTTCTGTGATCATATTATGTCTAACATAATATGGTTTCTGGAATATTAACAAATAGGATGGACACGAAAACACATTCCTGCTATTTTGCCTGGAGTATTTGTTCTCTACTTGTTTAACTTCCGTCAATTCGCATAACAGTTGCAGTTACTCACGCAAAATAACACATTTGATGAAAGGATAAGCGATTAAACAAACTACTTCAGTTAAATGCAACTCAGAGATGCAGGAGAGGCACGTGACATACTAGGAATATAATGACGAAGATTAGATTTCAATATAGTCTCAAGTTAGGCGTATATATGATAATCGGTAAATGCGTAGAGAGCTCAAAGTGGATTAAATGCGATATGCTAGTTTCTCAGTTATTCTGTTTCGAAGTCAAAGTCCACGCATAATACAAAAAAGAACCTGACTGCTCATATTGAATTAGCTAGATTCGCAAATACCTTTATTCAAGAACCATGTCATTTATCGAATGAGCTGAAGCAATCTTCTAGACATAGATTGCTAACTGTCTGCAAATTTAATGGAACATTTCAGGCAGTACCTTAAAATAGCATGTAACGATCACACAGTCCTGTCAGCAAACCTGTAAATCTAATATAAATACCGTCACATATAAGCTGATGTATATTTCAGTCTCGCTCTTGGTGCCCAAAATGACCTCGCAGAATAAAAAAAGAAGGGCGTTTGGCAAGCGTGTGTGTGTTTTCTTATAATTAAATATGGACATTTTGTAATAGATTTTGAACAAACACCCTATATGTTCATGACCGGTGTTTGTTTACACATCAATATAATTTAACGTTAGAGTAGTTGACAATGTACTATGCAAATCATCTGACATTCTGTGAAGAGTTGTTCATTCCGAATGCGTTTGTATTATTTATGAAGGTGTCTCGTTCATATATAATTATTGCCATTTCTCAAGAATTGTGACGTTTTCAAGTGTTTCGCTATGTATTTATTAAAAATTAAGGCGATCTAAGAACAAATAAGTGTAAGGTGTAACATAATATTTGCGTAACTAAGAAACCGACGTGAATTGCATTCGGTTAATTATAAATACACCGCGGTCTTTCCGCTGTGAAATAAGTCTTTGTTCACGACGTTGTTTCTAATTGAAGTAACAGCTGATGACAGCGACATGCAACGTTTGACATTTGTGTATCCTCGCTTATATGTACATGTATCGTTGCACGTTAATGTTGCCTAAACGCCGAAGTAATCAATCGTGACAACGTTAAATCAACCATAATAAAGAAATCTTCAGTTCTTGATCGAAAAAAAACCGCTAAATCTTTCACAGTGTGACCTCCATTGCAAGATATAGCGTATCTGTTCGAGAAATGCAGACTGAAACGGGGGAATCTGATTCGCACCTGTAATAAATACCCGATATCGGTGCATAAATCGCATTAAATTAATGCCTTGAACTGTTTGACATTGCTGCGTATACATTGCTAAGACAATTCTGAATGACACTCTCAAATAAAGGTCATTGCAATAAATCGATAATGTGTAGACTTACGTCTCCGTCGTATGATTACTGCATGTAACCCTGTAGACGCACACAATACATTCGCCAAATTATTATATATTTCTAATTTAACCCTGCACAAATATCGATTTACTTTATTTTGCACTTGATATGCTTCGTTTAGTCTTACACCCAAGATAACAGACTTTTCTCCTGAACAACTTAAACAGATTCATATTGACTCTCTCTTTTTAATGCAGCGTGATGCATTGCCTTGAGTGTTTACACTGCTCTAAAAATAAGATCACTTACTAAATTTAAAAATCACCATACATGTTTTCTCCTAATTGTGAAAAAAATACACATTACATATTGTTCAAATATTAAAATAAAAATCGTATAAAAATTCACATTATTAATCATACAATTGGTAGTCATCGTGCACGTTTTTAAATATGTAATTTGAATATTTACGAAAATTACGAAACACTTTTTGGTGTAAGGTTAAAATGTATGTTTCTCGGGGTACTGTAGAAGTTCATCTTCTACGAATTGATGTTCATTATTCATAAGTATTTTTTTTTTATTTCATTTAAACGAGAGCTTTCATCGAATGATTGTATATTAGCACCCGGGGTAGGAGTTTGATAAGCCTTGCATAGCTCATTGTAATCCGCATATATCCTATAGGATTTGCTAATCTTTAAAGCTAAACGTAAATATGAGATCAAGTTCACGACTTTAACAAAGTGTCTTCGCCCTTTCTTCGTGGTAACGATTCATCCTACAGGCATGTACATCAGCAAGTCAATCTTTTAAGACAAATCGACGCACTCGTTCCATACGACACTTGACTTGTTTGATTCCACTGTATTTGCACTCACATTGTGAGCTACATCGATGCTATATGCCGGCAAAACATTGTTGTCAAATGCAGGTTATTATTGACAATTTACTGCTGTTTATTTTGACCTATTATTGTTCCTGGATGCAGATTATTAACATTTATTGTTATTTTGGGATACAGGTCATCATTGACATATCTCTGTCCTTGAATACATATTATTCTTAGTAAAATATTATTTTTCTTCAGAATAGTATTATTGACATATTATTCTTCTTGAATCCTTATTATCCTTATTGATATATTATTGTGTTTTTTTTAATGCAGATTACTTTTGACATAATACTGAATACATATCAGTATTATCGACCTATTATTGTTTGTGAATGCAGAATATTATTGATATATCAATGGTTCTTGAATATACCGTTATTGATATGTTAAAGGCAGATTATTTACGTCACAAAATAATCTGGAAGTATA